GCTGGTCCATGAGGTCACGAAGAGTCGGAGACGACTGAACGAATGAACAACAACAACAACAACAACAACAGAACATGTATGTCTTGATACCTATAATATTTAATATTCCTGCTTCATTACATGTTGTCCAATCACCCAGTGCTGACCCTTCACCACAAACCAGCCAATTACAATACTTATTTCCAAAAATCAGTTGTTTCTATTACAGGTTTGGTCCCCTTACTTTCTATATACACATATTCTATCAATTTCCCCCAAATCTTCCCAAAATCATCTTTTTTTTTATAATCCTCTTTTAACCTTAATGTTTCCTGTCAGTTTATCATTTATTGCGATGTCCCAGATCTCCCTATACCACTCTTCCAATTGGCACTTCCCCCCTTCTTTCCATTTTTTAGCTATTAACAATCTTGCTGCTGTTACCAGATTGGCAATTAATTATTTTAGTTCTTTTGGTATTTTAACATTATCAATAAATGACAGCAGTGCTATTTCCGGTGTACCTGTTATCTCTATTTGGGTGATTTTTCTTATTTCTTGAAATACATTTTCCCAAAATTTTTGAACATATTTGCAAGACCACCACATGTGTATATGTGCCAGTTTCTTGACAGCCCCTCCAGCACTGCTTAGAATGTTTCTTGTCAATTTGATTTAATCTGATTGGTGTGAGGTACCATCTCCACACCACTTTGTAATAATTCTCTTTTATTCTTATTGACATATTTTTAATATACGCATATTCCACATTCCTTTCCAGTTTTGTGGGTGTATTACTTTATTACAATCTAACTCTCACATTCTTTTGAGGTGGTCCTGCTCCTGGACTCCTTCCAACAGCATTTTGTAGATATCACTTGTTATATCTTTTGTTCTTTCTTTTCCTTCCTTACTCCCCCTTTGGCTAATCATTTCTTCAAATTTGGTAAATTCTCTCTCTCCTTTATATTTCTTTCTTATTTCCCTTAACCATCTTTCAAGTTGTAAAGCTTTATACCATCCAATATTTCCTCCTGATAACTGGTCCTTTATCTCATCTATAATTTTCATCTTTGATTCCCAATCTTTTAATTTCGTTATCCCTTTTTCCTTGAATTCACTTTCCAACTCCTTTTTGAGATTTATGGGGAAATTATTTGTAATCAGCACGGGTGTTAATGGGGAGATCGGTGGTATTAATTTTTCTTCATACTTAGACCATATTCACAATATGTTTTTTAGAAAAGGGTTCTCTATTTTGTTATACCATTTCTTGTCTAGATTCCTAGTTTTCCCTATAAAGAAAATATATTCTAGTTTCATATCTATGTCTTCACTCTCTTCTTCTAACCATTCTAAATCTTTTTGACCCATAATCCCTTCAACAATATACCTTAACTGGTTTGCTATATAGTATAGTTTTAAGTTTAGTATTCGTAGACCTCCCTTCTTCTGTATTTTATACCATTTTTCCTTATTAATTCTAACTCTTTTATTCTCATTGCAGAAGGTGTTTATCATATTCTGCCATTTTGTAATTTCTCCAGCTGAGATTTTAATAGGTAGCATCCTAAACAAAAAGTTTATTTTGGGTAATATTTTCATCTTTATTAAAGCTAGTCTACCAAACCATGACAATTTAAGCTTGGCAAATTTAGCCAGAATATCCTTCACATTTTTCCTTAATTTGATTAGATTCTCCCCTTCTAGTTTATCAATTTCTTTAGAAATATTAATTCCTAGATACTTTATTGAGTTCTTTATTTTTATTCTACCCAATCTCCCTTCTCTTAATTTTTCTTCTTCTTCTTTAGTGTGGTTAAATAATAAGATTTCTGATTTATCCCAATTAACTTTAAGGCCTGTAATTTCCCCAAACTCTGTTAAATGTGCTTCTATTCTTTTTATCTGTTCTAATGGCTTTCCGAAAGTTTGTAGTGTATCATCTGCAAATAAACATATCTTGTATCTTCCCTCCTTCCCTATCCCCTTTATATGTTTATCCTCTCGTATCATATTTGCTAGCATTTCTATAACTATTGAGAATAGGGTAGGAGAGAGGGGGCATCCCTGTCTTGTTCCTCGAGTCAATCTTATTTTCCCAGTAAGGCCATCATTTACTTGTATAGCGGCATAGTTGGTTGAGTATAGTTTCTCAATCAGTCCTCTAAATCTCTCTCCTAAACCAAATTTTTCTAATATTTTTTTTAATGCCGGCCATGAGACGCAATCAAATGCTTTAAATATGTCTAGGGTCAGTATCCCTGCTTTAATATTCTTTTTCTTAATTGTATGAATCACATTTAGTACTCTTCCCACTGGGTTTGACATTTGTCTACCAGGAATAAATCCATATTTATCTTTTTTAATATAATTATATATAAAGCTATTTAATCTCTTTGCCATTATTGCCGTCAGTATTTTAGCATCTTTTTTAAAAAATAATTTTTATTGAGATTTTTGCATTTGGAATACATCTATCGAGATGTTGATCATTGACATATCGTTATGATAAAAGAGGGGAGTGAGGGTATGATGGGTAGGAAAGTTGGGGAGCTACCCGGGAAGGGGAAAAAAAGGGGGGGTAGCACATCCGACTAAGGGAAAGAGGGGGGTTGTGCTGGGGTTGGAGAGTGGGACGTGGAGTGTGTTAGAATTCTTATCTACTGATTATGTCCCTTATAGCTTTGTTAGTATTGGTGTTATCTTCTACTGAGGTTGTCTTCTTTTCTTCTCTCTAGTTTTCTTTCTCAATTTAGCTGTCTTCTAGATATTTCTTGATTGGAGACCAGTCTGTTTTGCTCACCCCGGTCGTCTGTTTAGATCTCAAATATTGTGTCAGTGAGTCCATATTCATAATATCCATTAGTTTTAGTTTCCAATCGTCTATCGTTAGTATTTCATCATTTTTCCATTTTCTAGCTAGTACTAATCTTGCGGCTGTGGCCATATGGAAAAAGAGCTTATCTTTGTTCATTTCCACTTCGAAGTCCAAGATTCCAAGTAAATAGTACTCCGCTTTCATTTCTTTTCTGAATTCTAATATTTTGTTGGTTATCTCGTGGATTTCTTTCCAGAATTTTTTGACTTTCTCACAGGTCCACCAAAGATGGAAAAAAGTGCCTTTCTTTTCCTTGCATTTCCAGCAGTCTTCTGATACATTTTTATAGTATTTCGCTAGTTTATTTGGTGTAAGGTACCACTGGAACATCATTTTAATCCAGTTTTCTCTCAGGTTGTGAGAATTTATCCATTTTAGTTTGGTCTTCCAGATCTTTTCCCATTCCAGTGTATCAATGGTGTGTCCTAAGTTGGCTGTCCATTTTGTAATATAGCTGTTTATATTGTTTTTTTCTGTCTTCCAACATAATAAGATTTTATATAATTTAGTAATTCCCTTTTTCTCTGATAGCATAATCCTTTCCCACTGTTTTTCACCAGTTTCAAATCCTACTTTCCTATCTTTGTTGAATGCTTCGTTCAGCTGTCTATGTTGAAACCACGAGATCTCTCCATATGATATTTTGATCTCTTCCAGTGTCTTTCTCTTGTAGCCTTCTCTGTCTTTTTTCAGGATGACTTCATACTTGGGCCAATTTTCCCATCCCAGCTCTCTTCTTTGGGATACCTCAAGCGGGGAGATCCAGAGGGGTGTCTTAGCATCTTGATTTATAAGGGCAATAGGTCTATATGAACCAGGATCTTTAGGGTCTTTGTTTTTAGCATTAATATGATCCTTGATTCCTGCCATGATGATGGGATCTGTTCTCCTTCCATTATCCTATTATATAGTTCTTTTAATTTTGGCACTAAAATTGATTTACTTTTTTTATAATATTCCGGTCCTAGCCCATCCATTCCTGGAGTCTTCCCTCCTTTCAATTTATCTATAGCATCTCCTATCTCTTTTTCTGATGCTAATTGTTCCATACTCATTTTATACATCTCCTGTAATTTTATTTTCCAGAAAATATTCTGGAAAATACTGGCTGTTCCTTTAAAAGCCCTGTTTACGCAAGCATTCACTGGCCTGCGCAACATGGTTATTTTAAGCCTTCCCCATTAGAGCCAGCTTTCTGTAACCATGGATTCAATCAGTCATACCAGGAAAATCTTTATTTAATTATCTAGAAAACAAACCTAGAATTCATCGTGATGTATAGGGCCAATTGGATTTGATGCGGATGGCTAGGATAGTTTTAAATGGTGTATTTTAATATTTTGATAAATGTCTTTTTAATGCTTATGTATTGTATGTGAATTTGTGTCCCGGCATTGAATGTTTGCCGTGTATATGCTGTGCTCCCCCCTGAGTCCCCTTTAGGGTGAGAAGGGCAAAATATAAATGTTTTAAATAAATAATAAATAATAAATAAATATCGGAGTTGTAGGTATAGGGATGTATAGTTCACATGCAGTCATTGAGCACTCTGAACTCCACCACTTATGGACCTGGAACTAACTTGGCACACAAAACACCCATGACCAACAAAAATGCTGGAGGTCTTTGGTGAGATTTATAGGAGTTGTAGTTCACCTACATCCAGAGCATAGTATGCACCCAAAAAACGATGGATCTAGAACAAACTTGGCATACATCCCCAATATACCGAAATTTGAATAATGGTGCATTTTGAGGGGAATTGGCCTGGGCATTTTGGAGATTTATAGTTCACCTGCAGTCAATGAGCACCCTGAACTCCACCAACGAAGGATTTGGAACTAATTTGGCACACAGAGCCTCCATGGCCAGCAAAAAATACTGGAGGCCTTTGGGGAAAAATTCACCTTGATTAGGGGGAGTTGAAGTTCACCTACATCCAGAAAGCACTGTGAATCCAAACACTGATGGATCTGACCAAACTGATACCTGATATGCCTGAGGAGGAGGGAGGGAGCGAGGGAGGGAGGATTGAGGGAGGAGGGTGAAGGGAGGGGGCGAGGAAGAGCGCCGGGCTGCACTACCAGGCCGGCAGGGTGGTAACCTACTGGGCTGTCCTCACCGTTGCGGGCATGGAGTTGGCTCCGCCTCTGCCCTCAAGCCCAGAACAGCTACAGCAGGAGCCAAAGCTGGAGCGGCGGGG